ATTCAAGATTTGTCTTTGAGGGTCTGATAGGAACTTTGCAGTTTTCTAGAAGGGAAACAAAGGCAAAGATCAAAAGTTTGCACATGGTGCGGTGGTTTGCATAGCTAGCAGTGTCAATTATTCTGGTCTGGTCAGGTCATTCTATGGTTGATCCGTATCTCATGACTGGTTCTGTGAGGTCCTATAAGAGCCATCATTGCCTGAGGGGGCAGTTCAATCCCTGTCATGAAATGATTGGCTCCTGCTACCTACATTCCAAGCACAGGGTAACTGCTCCCATTGGGGGGTGACTTCATCATGGGGCGGTCTGTGAGGCTCTGCTTTTCTTGTAACCCATGGTGATTACAGGTTTAGGACAACGGCTGGACACTTCTGGGCATCACTCCAGGATGTCTGGAACAGGACTTTATAAAGGCTAGAAATCAGATGTGCCTGCAGATCCTGAAAATTACCTTAGTTAGTCTTATCTTGGTGACCTCAGTTTAAAAGAGGGATAAGATAAGCTAGATAAATTTAGGGATGATGTACTCTGTAATACAGACACTTCTTAAGTGATTAACATGCCTACACGTAAAGCTTAGGAGGGATGAAGTTTTGAGATAATAAGAGAGACACATAAAATGAAAGCAGAAATGCCAAGCTTTATCATACTTTTAATTACCCTGCTGGGCATCTACAAATCCAGCCTCCAAGTCCCTGTTACAGAACTGCCTTTCTTATACTGAATATAGTTCAAATTAAACAACTAGATGGATCGTGCAAAGTTCTTCCTTATAATCACAGTTAAAATAACAGAACTAAAGGGAATGAGAGAAAAGTATTTTTGAGATAAGTAAGAACAACTGAACACAGTAATTTTGTTAGGTATGATAATGGTACTGTGATTTTTTTTGTTTTTAAAGTTCTTACTTAGTACAGATAGATACTGAAATTAGCAGGCAGAATGACAGAACATGTAAATTGTACTTTAAAACACCGGGGAGTGCACACACACAACAGAACTAACAGCTGGATGATGAGTATGTGGGGAAACAGAGGTGATGGCTTTAAAAGGATGCGTTTTATGATTTGTAAAGGTTACTGTATCTCAATTTTTTTAAAAAGACATTGAAGGCAGCACGTATTTACTTTGTAAAATGCCTGTGAAAAGTCAGCATTCTCCCATTAGCACCCATTTCCCGTTTCCTTCACATCCCCATCCCTGGAAATCAAAGATATAATTCTTACTAAGGCTACTTCATTATTGAAGGGGATAAGAAGATGCAACATATACCCTCAAATCTCATAAACTCAAAAGTCAAAGGTTCTCTATTCTGTGAGGTCCATAACATGCAAAGAACAAGTTTCAACTCCATACATACCTTTATTCTGAGGCAAATAAATGAGCACTTTCCTCTTCAATTACTCCTACTAAAGAGCAAAAAAATTAAAGCAGCCAGATTGGGTTTACTGTGACTGTGCTGCTAATCAACTGAACATTTAGCCACGGCATATTTTATAGTCCTCTACCCCAAAATTCTGCAGCAAAAACAAACAAACAAGAAAATCTACAGCAATTGCCACTAAAAAAGTTAAATGCAAAAAGTAGTAAATGAAGTCATTAAAATAAGCTAAATTCATACCAGTGTTTGCTTGTGTAGCTGGCAAAACTTAGCAAAAACAGTTCCTATACTAAATGCTGTAACAGATTTTCTAAATAAACGTATTTTAATCTTTTTAGAACACATTTTAATCTCTCTAGAACAACTAGATGAAACTTTGCCCCCCAAAAGTGATGCTGAAGAAGCTGAATACACTTAGTGGATCCTTGATCCTAACCGTACTATTCCTTCATATCACCCATATTATAAATAATGTGACCACGAATCCAAGAAAAAGTTATGTGATTAGTGATCCTCATTAATTTCAGACATGCAACTATACACCTGTAAAAGCACTGCTTTTTGCAACAAACCCAACTTCCATTTATTTTTTCATGAAGCAGGCAACGCAAATAAATTTACCTTTGCTATCATAATTCTGACAAATATTTTCTTGAAAGCAATCTAAATAGAAAAAATTTTAAATTTCTGTTAATAGATATTGCAAAAATTTAGAAAACTTATCAGCTATAACTTCATTATATATGTTAATATCTTTAACATTTTTATGAATTTCCTCCCAGATTATTTTTCTATACATTTGTACATAGTTAACATCTTGCTATCTATAAATTTTACACCTGTTTTATTCATTTGCCACTATTCCACTAGCATTTCCACACTTCATAAATTACACTCAATGCAAAAAGTTCACTATCATCTAGACAAACGTAAGGAAATATTTATAGACAGTATCTTATATTCTCCTAATGCTGGTATTTGGGGTTTTTCCCAATTTGAAAACCATTATTTGTTATTTCAAGTGGTTTTTAAATTATCATTTAGATTCTTTGATGGATACACTCATGCATAGAAACCACACAATTTGGCCCCAAATAACTTAGGTTATTTTCAAGACATTTGTGCCCTGCTAGTGCCCATTAAAGCTAGAGACAGTGCCCAAAGTCACAGTCTCGTCTGAAATATATATATATATATATATATATATATATCATCCATATCATGAGGACTTTGGAATGAACAAACGATGAACCACAGTTCTTCAAACCATTTAGAAATTAAAAGCCATGCCCTCAATCTGTCAAAAAGCATTCTGTCGTATCTTACATGTGCAATCCGATCCCTCTCGTGACCTCTAATACCAAAAACATGAGGAGGGAAAATTCAGTTTATTTACCTGTGTGTCACTTTAGTAATGGCTCTCTTATACAACTGACCTTGAATTTCTAATTTAGACTCTTCACAGGCAGCCAAGCAGCTCACAAAGGTGACTGCAACACAAAATATCCCCAGTGCTATTAAATGTGCTATATCTACATTCATCTTTCTCCCTCCCAACAGGACCGTTTGTTCTTAAGATAGAAATACAAGCACATTTTCTTCCTAAACTTGATTCTAAGGTAAACTATGGAAACTATTCTTTCAGTTGTTAGAGTAGAATACTTGCCCACCTAAAAGCTTTACACCTCAAAGGGTATTTAAGCATCTGTGGATTGGGGCTGGGGATTTAGCTCAGCGGCAAAAGCGCCTGCCTGGCAAGCGCAAGGTCGTGAGTTCGGTTCCCGGTACTGGAGAAAAACCAAAAAAAAAAAAAAAAAGCATCTGTGGACAGCAGCCAGTGCCCAATCACTGTGATATGATTGCTGTTGCTCTCTCAAATACCTGCCGAACTTTTTCTTATTCCGTGCGCTGAAAATTTAAATTCATTATCCACTACTACAACGTGATTACAGAACAAAGATAAACCTAACAACGGGAGGCTGAACAAGGGGCCTGATGGCTTTGACATTCTACAGACTTCCAGTCAAATGCTATGTGCCCTACAGAATATTACTTCACCTGGAAGAATCTCAGCACTAAAGAACTCTGGAAATTGTAGTACAATTGAAAAATAACAAATATATAAAAACCTGACCTATAGTTGGATGTCAAATACATGACTATTTTATGATGTTTGGACAGACCCTTTTCCACAATCTGTTACATTTGGCAAAATATCAAAGTAAAGACTTCCAGTTCATTTTTGGCTTTAGTCAAGCAGAATCACCTCCCATTGGTTACAGAATGCCCATCAGATGCCCAGCCAGTGCCTGTTAAAGCTAGCATCTCCCCATCCAAGTGCTTTCCTATTTTTGATCTTCTGTGCTCTCTTTTTTTCCTCACTACTGTGGTTTGCACTTCTTTGTCTCCTCCAAAATTCACTGGGAACTTAAACTTAATGTGACAGCATTAGAAATGCTAGCCATTAGGAAAGGATTACGTCATGAGGCAGAGCCTTCATGGAAGGTACCACCGACTTTATAAAAGTGCTGGAGAGAACTAGCTAGGCCCTTTGTGCCCTCTGGCTTGCAAGGACGCGGGTTTGTCCCTCTAGAGGATACAGCAATATGCACTACTTTGGAAGCTGAGACCAGGCCCATACCAGACACCAAACCTACCAGTAGCACCTTCATTCTGGATTCTCAACTTCCAGAGCTGTGCAAAATACATTCCTATTATTATAAATTACCCAGTCTGTGGTTATTTTGTTATAGCAGTAGGAAGAGACCAAGATATTCACTGTGATCAGTTTCACGCTCATCTGAATATAACTGCCTCCAAAACTGAAAAACTTCTGCGATTCACTTGAACAGTAGTTAAACTTCTACAGATAAAGTGTCATAACACCCTCTCCCTCAGTCCAGCCTAGCTGAGAACCAACTAGCTGAAACTTAGGTGTTTAGTTGTTGTTTTAGAGGTGGAGAGAGGGCAAATAAATGCCTGCAGGTGATTCTAAAGTGCCCTACACTGAGATGTTTGCTTATGAGTTTCCAAAATTGTTGGGCATGAGATAGGTTACAATTGTTCTCAGAAAGTGGGGATGTAGGTTACACACCCCACAATCCATTTTAGTGCACATGTGAATGCACTGAAACTGGCCAGTAAGTTTCACCTACTACACTACAAAGGCACAGCCAATACTTCCCCATCTACTGTATGAGGCTACTCTTTAAAATCTGTTTATTCCTTTGTGGTTTCTATTTACACTGTTTAGCTATTCAATCCGTAACAGGTAACCAAAGGCAGGCAGTGATAGCGTGGGGCCAACCACAAAGAAATAAAGGAAGAATATCACATCAGATGATCTAAAATGATCATAAAGCTTACTAATAAGTACACCACATCTACTGGATGTCAACCACTTTCTATAAAAACACTTATACGCTCATGACGATCTATGAGGCGCCCTACTGATTCCATTTTCAGGTGAAACACTAAGCATTATGAGATGAAATAATTTACCTAGGATTACACAGCTAGTTAGAGAACGAGCAAGGAAAAAGTATGAGTTCTAACCTGATAGTCTGGCTTTAAATTCCAGACTCTTACCTTTTCTATTACAAACTGCCTCTTCCACAGAGCTGGGGCCATCTCCAAAGAAGAGGAGAAAGAAGAGCACCAACTAGGAACTGAGAAGCAGAAAACCTACATTATAAAGTGCTTTCTAAGCATCTTTATAGCTTGGGAACCTCTGCCAGCAAGTTACAAAATACAGCAGCTGGAATGGTCATAGGCAGTCAAGATTTCAGGAGGATGTGAAGGTAAAGAATGTAATTGCTAAAGTAAGATTTAGAACACAACTCCACAGAGACTAAGAACATTAGCTCTCCTTTGTCAGTGTCCCCATTTCCACAGGTACATCTCCTGTCCTACACAGGATATACCAACTTCTGAAGTCAGGCAAAAACAAAATTAATTTTTCCTTACAGAAAGGAATCAAGATTTCGGTCAATAAAAGTAGATCTTTCTACCAGCGTACTCAAGGTTTCTCTTAAGAAAGCTGAGGATGTGGAAAAATGGTCACTTCTAGATGGTTTCCTGTTCTGCCATATTCTAACCTCTCCACTTGCTCTCTTTAAGATAATAGACCTGGGCAGAAAGAAAAACACATAACTAACAGGAATACAGGAATACAGACCTGTACACAAAACTAACACTTTTTGAAGGCCCTAAAGGTGTTTGGCAGTTTTTGTTTTGTTTTGTTTCTTGCAGTACTGAAGACTGAACCCATTGCCTTCACACTGATCTTTAAGCTTTTTTAGTTTAAAGCAGAGTCTTGCTAAGTTGCCCAGTCTGGGTTCAAATCCGTGATCCACCTACCATGGCCAGAGACAATGCTGGGATTGGAACTGTGAGCCACTGTGCCCTGCTCCCTAAAATATTCTTTAAAAAGAAAGAAATGTTTTAAATGCCAGTTGCAGTAATTTACAATTTTTTCCAATGAGAAACTAATGAAGTAGTAAATGAACACACCTCTAAAATGCTCCCCACCCACTTAAAAATACTCTAATAATAGTTATGCACATCTCATACCAGATTTTTCTCTACACAAGGCATAATGTTTTCCTAAACTATGCCCAAAACAAATTTGTCTTTGAAGTCCAATACTGGCAACTGTACCCAATATGTGCGCACATGTTTCCACTGGTGCCCACACCCACCTGTACTTCTGGGCCTATGCTTCCGAATCTCCCTCATTCATTATATATGAGGAGCTGCACACTGAAGCAACAGGGTCTCACACATAGCCCTAAGTGGTCCCTCATGACAGGGTCAGCGGCATATACTCAGCCCCCACGCAACACTTACAGTAAAGAGTACAGGCATTCTCCTACCTACTTGGAACAGATCCTTCTCAAAGCAGCATGACTAAGCAAGTCAGCTGATCCTTGCTAAAATAAATTACCTCAGAGGAGGAAAGATCTGGCCATCAGAGAACAGATCTGGATCCAGGGGCAAAAGATTGCAGGGAATCCCACAGAGGAGGGAGGAGAGGCCCACATCCAGGAAAGGGCTTGAAATTAGATATGAAATTAGGCCTTTTCCCCTTTCCTATTTCCCTATCTTATCCTCCTCTTAATTTCTTTAACATTTCCCCATCCTTTCAAATTTTAAAAATACCCTACTCGGGACTTCTAACAGAAATAACAAGCCCAAAGTGACTCTCAGAAAAAAAAGTGATAAACATAAGAGGTTCAACTTCACTGGTTTGAATTTCCAAGCTGTTAGTTACAAGATATAGGAATGGTCTTAAACAGGACAAACATGTGGTAAGTGCATGTTTGAAACATTAAAGCCGTACATAATTTTTGTGTCTTTTTGCAGTACTGGTGACAAACCCAAGGCCTTCCCACTGAGCTACAAACCCAGCTTTTTATCTTTTATTCTGAGATACGGTTTCAATAACTTGCAAAGTTACAATCCTCCTGTCTTAGCCTGGGACAATTCTTTACATATATCAACATATACAACTCAGACTTCATATTTTTAATGTATAAAAAGAACAACATTTTACAACACAACATACTAGTGTTTTGGTAGAATTTCAAAATTTAGTATAATCATCATTAAGAGTAAGACCTTTGGTTTAAAAGAATTGGAGACAATGGAAAAGGTTTTGCTTGATAACCCAGCTAAAAGCCCAAATAACAAAGGATCATAAGAAGAGAAAACTAAACAAGTACAAACACGGACATACTACACCGAGCACTGTAGAAGGCCTGGGCACAGGTCTCTCACTCCTGATGCCCTGGGCTCCTCCTACAGACAGGAAAGAGCCTCAGTGGTATGCCCATCTAAGTCCACATCAACAAGTAGATGCTGTGATGCAAGCCCAGGCCTATGGGCCCAATGTCTGAGTGTTCTCACTATACCCTTGCAGCCTTCCAAAATCTAAAGTATGAAGCTCCACTGAAATTCATGATGCCCCACTGGTCACACCTGGCTCACTGACCCACCCCTCAAGCTCCCACTCTTTTAAAGGAACTTACAGTCCTTACCCCATCACTTGATGTTATGATTTGAATAAGATATATCCCCTAAGCCTCATGTGTTGGGGACTTGGTCCCCAGTGCAGCCGTGATCAAGATGTAGGGCTCTGGGGAAGTGAATTCATCATGACAGCTCTAACTTCATCAGTGAATTAATCTGTTAATGAGTTCATAACTTAAAGAGCTTCTTAAAAGGTGAGGTCCAACTGAATGAAACAGGTTACTGAAAGCATGGCTTTGAAAGGTATATATTGTCCTCAGGTCCCCTTCCTCTTTTCTCATTTTTTTCCTCTCTGTCTCTTTGTCTGTGAGTGTGTCTGTGTGTTCTCTAACCACTGGTATCCCAGATGCCATGAGGTGAACAGCTTTCCTTCAACATTTTCTTCTAGCATGATGTTTCCACCTCACCTAAAAACAATGCAGCCAGCTGACCATGGACTGAAACCTCTGAAGTTATGCATTAAAATAAACCTTTCCTCCCTTAAGTTGTTACTCTCAGATATTCTGTCAGAGCAACAAAACCAACGCACTTAACATGAGCAGCAGCCACCACTTTCTTGTACAGCCATGCCTCGCTGACCACATAGCATAGGTCAAGAGTTTGGAGGATTGTTTAGGGATTTGTGGGATTTCTGAGCTGGGAGAGAAGAGACTCTTTCCTCTGGGGATAGAGTTATGTGAGTGCAACACTGCAGTGAAACCTGTACCCCAAAACAAAGGCAGACAGAAGCCTGGTCTTCCCCCCAATCAAGCCCTGGTGTTGCTGCACAGTGACTTCAATCTCCTCCTGGCCAGGAACTGTCCCAGTAAAACCCCCTTTCAAACTCAAACGAGTTTCAGCTGAGTTCAGTACAAAGTCTCCCTGACTTACCTCCCATAATCAAAAAGACTGCTCATAAGTATTTTCATTACAAAGTTGTTTTTTGAAAAACGTTCTATAGGTTAAGCCATAATCATGAGACTCAAATAAAAATCACACACCTCCCCTTCACTGCCTAACAAAAACAAAATTACAGGTACCACCTATCCACCATTATTTACTACCTACCAATTTAGCCCATTAAGATGAGCTGATACCGAGGTTACAGTAAGTATGAAAGCATGTGGAAAAAGGAAAAGAATACTCCAAAGAAGTAAAGTTTCATGTTTTTTCCCCTCACAGCTCTCTTGAATGATAAATTAATATTACCCTCATTTTGTGTGGGAAGAGATTAAGGTAACAGGACTAAATAAAAAACAAATGAGAAACCCAACTTCCCTAATCCAAAGAGGACCTTGTCCAGGTATTAGCACTTCTTTCTCCTGACTATAAATACCTTCTTCTCTGCTAATGTTGATCATACTCTGAAGAGAACCTATTTTCAATCATTTGAGAAAAGGGATTAACAAAAATAAAATTATTTTTTCTTTTTAAGATTTTCTTTTAAACACATTAAAACATTAAGAGAAATGGTAACAGCCAAAATTTATACAAAGAACTTCCTTCCCATCTATAACCCCATCTGTTGGTCGACAGGGAACATCCATCTTTAGCACCCCCCTCTTTGCCTCTACCCAAAATCCCACATAAAAAGCAGCTATAGCTCAACAAATTCCTCCATGCTGATGTCCTCTTAGTCCGCCATGTTTACCCAATTTCTCTAAACTCTTTACCAGGGTGGTCCTTGTCATAGACTGTCCATCTGACTAACCTGTTAAAAAGATAACTTGATGAGGCCTTTCTGCTTTTGTTTTCTTTTCACCAACACTGACAATGCCCCTTAACCCAAAGCTCAAGCTGGTGAGTTCTGCCTGTAGCTGGATACTCTTAAAAGTACACTTTTATGTCATCCATTTTTGCACTTAGTTTTTCCTCTTCTCATAAAGTATCTTTTAACATCCTGCTAAATCCAGAAAACATTCTGCTATTATATGCCTGTATATATTCCTTTCATAATAGTTATGAAAACTTACAGCTGATCATACTTCATGTCTATTGGCTGCTAGGAAACCAAACCAAGCTTCACCACATTACTTTATGTCCAATAAAGTATTAGGTTGTCTTAAGTAATTCATAAATAGAAACACACCCAAATAAGATTAATTTGAAAATTTTTTCTTCCTTTGCAGTAGTCTTAACCACCAAAATATGTAGCTCAATGGTAGAATGCTTGCCTAGCATGAGTAAGACACTGAGTTTGATCCCTATCACTGAAAAAGAAAAAAAAAACACACATATATATATACACAAAGAGACATAGAACATACAAAGAGACATAGAATATACAAAGAGACATAGAACATACAATTTAAAATATATGGAGCCAACCTTAAAAAAATTAAAGAATTATAGCATTAGAAAAATCGCCCTTTGCTTCACAATGGTAGGAGTGTATGTGAGACTGGTAAGTAATACAGAAGAGGAATTTCAGGAGAGTATCAAATCATTTACAACACCCCACTTTTAAGGGACTCGCCAAGACCATCATTAGTCTTTTCCACCTGTGCAGCTCCCACAGAGTAATTAACTTCTCACATGTTAAGGTCCCACCACTTCTCAATATCCCCACACTGGCGACCAACCTCTCAGACATGAAGTTTTGGAAAATACACTCAAACCATAGGATAAAGAAACACCCTGCGTCTTCCTCTGGATGTCAGCAGCATCCAGGTCCTGGTGTCTCACACACACCTGTGTATAGGCACAACCTCCCAAATGAGTCAAATGAGATGCAAACAAATGTTTAAGATGAAAACCATTTGATAAACATTAAATATAGAATTAAAAGAAGGAAAGAAAGAAAGAAAGAAAGAAAGAAAGAGAATGAATGAATGAATAAAAAGAAAGAAAGAAAGAAAGAGAAAGAAAGAGAAAGAAAGAAAGAAAGAAAGAAAGAAAGAAAGAAAGAAAGAAAGAAAGAAAGAAAGAAAGAAGAAAGAAAGAAAGGAAGAAAGGAAGAAAGAAAGAAAGAAAGAAAGAAAGAAAGAAAGAAAGAAAGAAAGAAAGAAAGAAAAGAGAAAAGTAACCTTTGGTAACCAGCACAGTAATAAGTGGTTAAGGTAAGAATTTTGAAAGGAAATTTGCACTAGTAAGTGAAAGGGTCATGAGAAACAAGATATGTAACATATATAGTTTCAAAATACCCCCACAAGATACCTATTACTTATTTTTAAAAGCAACTTTTTGAAGAAACCTGGCAAATACCTCTTTCACTAGATAGGACAGGGAGACACCATGTGCCTCCACATATGAGGCACTGAGAACATCACTTCTGTGGCATTCTTGCCAAAAATGTGCAACCTTCACCCAACCAGGAAGACCATCAAACAAGCTCAAGGACTATCCAAAAGACCTGTACTCTTTAAAAGTGTTAAGACAGACAAGGAAAAACAGACGACAAACTGTTCCAAGCCCAGGAAAACTACATGTATGTGAAATTTAAAGCAACATTTGCTGCTGAATAGGACTGCTTGAATAGTAATCAAGGAAACTCTCTTTCTTTTGCTATAAAGGACATTAGTAAGACAACAGGTAAAATGTAAATAAAATTTATCAATAGGTATCAGTAGTCTATGGATCCTATAACTATCCTATTACAGCTTAAATAAGAATGCGTTCAAATGGGAAGAGGAACAAAAGAGGGGGTGGAGGAGGAGGAGGAAGGAAACGAAAGGAAAAGGGATTTTTTAAAAAGAATGAAAGGGAAAAATGGGAACAAACCTTGTGTAAATGGTGAAGGGGAGAAGGGTTGAAGGGAGGGCAGGAAGAGGGAAAAGAAGAATTAAGACATATTACGTCAGACAAATTCCTTTTGATGAATGTGATCATTATGTATAGCAAATATAAACTAATAAAAACAGATAAAAAGAAATTGTCTCAAAACTATACTAAGATTACATAAATGAATGTCCTTGTTTTTAAAAACATACAAATATGTAGGAGCAATAGAGCACTGTGTCTATAACTCACTTGCGAACAGTTTAAACAGCACTGACACATATAAACAGAATGATAAAACAAACAGTAAAGAGAACAATGGGGTCTGGGAGAAAACATACATGAAAATTCTTTGCACTATTTTTTAAAATTTTCCTGCAAGTCTGAATATTTTCCAAAATAAAAGGTTTTAAAAGTACACATAGTCATGATTTTACTAGGACTAAAGAATCATTTCAAATACACTGATCTTAACTACTGGGTTTTATTTTATTTATTAGAGTACAAAATGAGATGCTTCTCTCCCACTCAGGCTGTGGTCTCTCAAAGCAATCATTAACTAAGGAGTATATTCTTACACCATTTTCTTCATGCTCCAACAAATGGTGCTAGTAATACTGCTGCAACATTATAAAGTCCTGCACATTGTTCAGAGGTGGGCCCCAAATTAAAATCCTGCCTCTGACACTTCGTAGTCATATAACCTGGAGCAAGTTTCTTTGTTTCTCTTGGGCAGTTTCCCTAGCTGAAGAATGGGAATAATTACTCCGTTTACCATAGAGCACCTACACCATGATTAAATGAGGCAATGCCCGCAACACACTTAAGTGTCTGGAACACAATGAGCGCTTAATAAACGTCAGTTATTATTAGACATAAGCCATCATGTATTCATCAGCCTCATGTCTGGCCCCACATCCTCACCCCAGCTGTTTTGTTTCATTTCCTTTGAGATTCAACTTATGGTTTCTTTTATTACCTGCATCTTTATTTAAATTTTAGTTTTCTAAAACAAGGCAATGATAAATTTGTGCTAAAAGAAAGAACAAGTGAGAGTCTCCTAAAACAGATTCTCTTATCAACGGGTTCATTTATAATTTTAAACTCACCCTTCACAGAATTCCCAGCCAGCTGCTGCTTAGCTCAGGGACTTGATTATCAACACTGTACAACTCAAGGATTAACATCTTATTACAAAAGATATGAGGCCTCTGTCCCAGGGCATAGGCTAACTGGCAGAGCTACAAAAAGACATGCAACCCTAGTCCCACACAAAAGTTAACTTTCTACAGATCTCACTACCATATGACCCAATAACTATGTACTGTCTTAATCGGCTTCCTTTTGCTGACCATATGTTACATACAAGGCACTATGCTGGCATACCATATGTACAGGCTCAGTGAATCCTCAAGACAGCTATGCACAAGGTATCATCAGACCCATTTCCCAGATAGGGACAAATGATCAGCATGAGAAAGATCCACACACACTCAGAAGTCTAAATGGCAGAGCCAGGATGAGAATCCTGATGGTTCAGACTCAAGTCTAAATTACTTCCAATACAATTTTTTTGCTCTTGCATATGAATAAAGACATATAGGACCACTACTTACGCCAAGGACACCACTTTTATCTGACTGTCCACGTGAATTTTCTTGAAATAACTGGTTCTAAGTTTTTTTTTGCTTTTGCTTAGTGCTGCTTGCTGTGGACTTTCTATTTTCAACAGAGGTACGTGTCTTTTTAAATTACACCAGAGAAATGGGCCTCCAACAGCCAACAAGACAACACTGGGAAGAGCAGGCAGTATCCAAAAGGAGATGCTACTTGGTGGCAGCATCCAGAAGACTGCCAGAAAAGGAAACAGATGTCACTTAATCTGAATGCAGTGATCTTTTCTGGCTCTCCTCTCAATGACACAGCGGGGTGGGAGGATAAAAACCTCAATGAAAACCAAGTTAGGGAGGAAGGCACAGGAAGTGAGAGGACTCTCCCTTATCTGTCATCACATGTGCCTCCTGCCCACAAATGCACTTGATCTAGGGGCAACACTGTGCTCTGAAAAGCAGCTTAGGAGAGACTAGCCCTTTTATAGTCTCCTGAGACAATGATGCCAGAGAAGGAGAGGCAGGAAGGGAAGAGGCTGCTCGAGACTTACTGAAACTTCCTCCTTTTCACTCCTCAGGCACTATTTAATCCACAGCCCCATCAAAGGCTCTCCAACTAAGCACCCCCTACCTTTTCTTACATCTTCACACTATGACACTTATATACATTCCCATGTAACAATTTATACTGAATTACTTCCTATCTTACATTGTGTAACCGCACTGTCCTTTCAATAGCCCTAACTGCCCCTCCAGTCAGACCACAAAATGCTTCAGGATGGAGACAAAAGAAGCTCCAGGTTGACAGAGATCCCACAGACTCAAATTTCAAATACAAGGAACAAAGCACAGACAAAAGTACACAACACTGAAGCTGACACACAGCAGACTGGACAGGTCCAGACAGCCTGGGCAGTGGCCATATAATGTCAGCCCAGGGACCACGTACACTGTATGCCCATCTCCTGGTGCAGCACCTGGCATACAATAAGTACTTTTTAACTTTAGGTGTTGCGATGAGAAAGGCTTCCCAAGTCTTTCCAAGTTGTAATAATCAACAGTGTGGCCCTGTTGGTGTTCTGGATGCATGAATGCTTAAATAACTACTCAACCCTCAGCATGCTTGTACCAGGCAAGAAAGTCCAAGGCCCTCTCACTGCAAATAATCAGTAACAGGCTAACTGAATTCAAATGATCATAGTGAATCTGAATGAGAGAAATAAAGAAGGTAAGTTTTCTTGAAATATATAAAAACAAGCTGTTCTCTAATCTAAATTAATTGCCCCCCCATTCCCAAATTATATGCAAATTATAATCCTTATTCCTCTTTCTCCAGATGAAGCAGTAATGGTTCCCTCTACCAAAGAAAAACTGTTTAGCTAAGTAACAAGGATAAAGTGCCTGCCGTTCCAGTCCGGGGCCCAAGTTTCTGCAAATAAAGTTTTATTGGAACAGACCTACACTCATTCACTTACGTATTATGTGTGGCTGCTCCTGTGACACAATGACCCAAGCTAGCTGATTATTTGCAAGAAAACCATACAGTTCACAAGCCTAAAATATTTACCTATCTTGCCTTTAAGAAAAAATCTGCTGACCCCTGACCTTATGAAGCAAGCAGTGGCTAGGAAATCAGAGAGATCTACATTGAAATACTAGTTCTGTAATCACTAGCAGAAATTACTTCATATTTCTGGGTCTCAGTTACCTCTTGTATAAAATCAGGATAGCACCATCTGCCCTGCAGGGGTATTACACAGACTAAATGAGGTAAGACAAATAAGACGCTAACACAGCAAGCAAGCAATACATGATAGTTATTAAACTACAGTTAATATAACTTATAAATGTGTCTGTCATATTAAGAAATATTCAAATGTAAGGTTATTCAAGCTCTAGTCAAATATAAGACAATGGGCTAGCATTCATTTTCCTTCTAAGGAATAACAAGAACACTATTGTTTTATAAAGCTAAAATTACTTCACCTTTCTCTTTAATTAAAAAAGAAAATCAAGAAGCCAAACTCCAAAGTTTAGTTAGCATAAAGTTAATACCTTCTGCTCATACTATTTTAAAAGTGTCAAATAAAACCTAACATGTACTTCAGACTCTGAATAAGAAATCTTAATCTATGATTAAGAAAAAGAGGAGGAATTAAAATAAGTTTGCAGTTTTAATAAAACAACAAGCAATACTTGGTGAGTTCCTGAAATCACTCATATAGCCAGTATTTATTGAGTATCTACCATGCTCAAGGTTCTGGACTCCAGCTGTAACAAGGCAGTTGTCTCCATACCAAGCGAACTTACAAACAGGGGCCTGCTCAGCACCATTAAGATGAGAATCACAATACGTAGCCCTTTGACCGCAAAACCATCTGCATTAAAGCTGCACAAGACTGTAGAGTTTGACGGCTCATAAGCCATCACCTCATCTAACTCTGCACTGCACAAATGGGCTAACTGAACTCTCTGTGGTTATAAGCAAGCCAGTAGCAAACCACGCCTTCCTGATATGACTTGGCATTAAAGTCTTTCCTTAAGAATTATTTCTCAAAGGGACAAATCTAAATCTTTCATTCCTTGATGACTTTATAAATGATACTTTGCAAAAAAAGTACCCACTCTTCAAAGCCCTGAATTCCTCTGGACAGTATCACTCCTTTCTTCTTCTGCCTTCCCACAGAATGCCATGTATTTCTATAACTGCACACACTACCCCTGTATTGTACTGCAACTGTCTGCTTATTTATCAGCTCCACCCCCACTGGCTTTGAGCTCTTTGAAGACAGGAACCCTGTGTTGATAACAACTACTAAAATGTGCGTATTTAGTATGTGGCAGGCTTGTGGTAACTGTAAACCCACTCTCCTACTTAATGCTCATAATAACTCAATTATCCCAAAGTTACAGATGAGGAAACTGAAGCCTGGAGATGTCAGAAAAGCTCAGTAGAGAAGTAGACCGTACCAATTATTAATTAACATCAATATTACCTCAGTTCTATCCCCAAACTTATCCTTCACCTGGCCAAACACCCATGCAGGGGAGGCTGTCTTCCTTCTTGAGACCAACAGGTCAAGTAGTATAGTCAAAATCAATCATGGACACTCATTCCATTTTCCAGTGGTGCTGGATTGGGCACACAAAGCCACCTGGCCAATGTGATAAACAAAAGGTCTGCTGGAAGGCTATGAGAAAGATTTCCTCCCAAGTAAAAAGCACAAGTTAAAAAAAAAGACGCAAGTAGATACTCTTCTTCGTTAAAAATTCCCTCAACTACTACTCGATTTATCTGAGATATTAAATTTCCTTACAGTAATTTTAAGTCAGCTGACTCTGTTTTCAGTTACTCTTAGCCAAAAACATCTTAATATACACACAGAAAAATTGTGAAGCTATGATTCAAGCACAGACAAGGTGATTCGACAGCCCTCAGAAATGTAACGAATGATAGGGGCTGGGGATGCAGCTCAGTGGCACAGCACCTGCCTGGCAAACACAAGGTCCTCAGTTTGATTCCCAGTACCAGCAAAAAAAAAACAAAGAAAAAAAAGAAATGTAATGAATGGACTCTCTATGACATCTCACACTCCCCATCCATCCATTACCAATATCATGCCCATAAGAAGCACTTCTTAACTTCAGCAAAGTGAGCACGTAGCTGAATGAAACAGAATTTGAGCTCAGCTTTCAAATACAAATATGGTAAATTTTCTATCCAGTCATAAGTGAAATATTACGACCTTAGGTTATACCCTTGACAACTATAAAGCCTCACTGCTCTTAAATGAGACTGAGGTTTTATGTATTCAGAAAACAGTCTATACTAGAGCCAATGAAGAAATCCTGTGCCAGGTGCTAAATCCAAAAATGCCAGGTGTGGTTGTACACATCTGTAATCCCAGCACTCAGAAGGCTGAGAAAAGAGGATCGCCATGGGTTCTAGGCCAGGCTACTACATAACAAGTTCAAGACAAGATGAGCCTCAACTACATAATAAGACCCTGTCTCAAAAAAACTAACAAAACCAACAAAATAAACAAAACAAAAAGTTCAAACAAATCTCAGAAGACTGAACACAGTCTTCAAGAGCACAAAAGACTGGGTTTCTGAAGTCTCTTTTACAATGTCCACAGGGCCTAGCAGCAGTCATGCAAACTTCCCACTCTTCTTTCCATCTCAACTCCATCTGCAGAAACTACTCTCTTGGCAAACTGAAAAAGAGCTGGGCAGAGGGGGCTAACAGAGGAGGGGACACAGAGAAAGAGACCTCTTTCGCATTTCAAGATACATCTGGCTTTCATTCATAAAGCTGTCTTTGGTATATTGCCCAGCTTTCCTGTTACCGGGAACAAAATACCTAATGCTTGCAACTTAATAGAGAAGAGGTTGATTGGTTTATGTGGCTCACGGTTTCAGAGGTTTCAGTCTATGGTGAAAAATGCTCCAAAGCACAAACATCAAGGCAAAGGTGCACGGCAAGGCAAAGCTGCTCACCTCATGGTGGTTAGAAGCAGGGAGAGGGAAAAAGGGAAGAGCCAGAGAAACAGGAAGGGACTGGCAGTAAGAAAACATCCTTCCAGGTCACATCCCCAGTGACCCACCTTGTTCAACCAGGTACCACCTTCTAATAGTATATTTAGCTATGAACGCATCAGTGAATTAATCCATTCATGAGTTCAGTACGCCTGTGATCCATCCGTCACCTCTCTAGAACTGCACCTCTGAACACAGAAGCCTCTGAGGAGTTATTTTAGATCAAACCATAGCAAATGGTAAAATGGTCAACCTTCGCAGCTCATTTGGGCCATGACATGCCACTCCCACCCCCATCTACCCATCAAGGGTACAGGAAGAAACTTCATCTTTAAACCTGAAGGAGAGCCTCTATGCCATTACCCACAGGTCACAGAATAATCCTTAACAACCTACACTATTTCTAGTCAGTCACCCAACAGACTTCAAAGAAGTGACCTGAAGGTAAAAAGTTCTGCATCCTATTGCCAATTTGCTTCCTGAAAAAAAAAAAAAATCAGTGGAGACTCTTGTTATTAATGAAGGGTCACTCACCAGTATCTCATGACCCATGCACTGCAGACACAGCATAAACTTAAACTGAAGGCTGCTTGTGTTTGTACACTTCTAATATAAAACTTCTTATTTCTTCGCTGCCCTTCCCTCAAAGCACTTAAGGATAAGGATTGTTTTACTTCCAATCAAAAAATCAAAGGAAGTCTCCAAAAATCACAACCTACATGAGCATCTTATTGAAGCCAAGGAATCATGCTGATTGCTCACAAAGGACCCTTTCTGAGGGCTAGTTTTGATCCAGCAAGGCAGCCCAGCCACCTTTCAAGAGTGCCTAAAGCACAGCTTACCTTATAATTGCTAGAGTTCACCCAAGAGGTAGCGAGTCCATCCACAAGCTTATCTAACATGGTCTGATCATGCTCAAGGTCAGCAGACTTCTGTTTATCTGAGAAATAGTCTATAAGTTCTTGGCCAACCTGCAGTCGTTTCCCCACATCCTTTTGCAACACCTGAGCCAGGCAAGACTCCATGCGAGGCTCCATGGTAGAATTCAAATCCAGATCCAGCAAAAGCTAGAGGGCAGTCAGGATGACTCCCTCCTGGTAGCCGTTCCAAGGAGACCGCCTCTTTGTTTGCTGAAGGTTACTAAGAGCCTGTGTTTCAAAGATGTAATCCGGGGAATGGTAACAATGCACCATGTGTGTCTGAAGAGCAGCTGGTAGGATATTAAAAGTCCAATTTAAATAACTAGTAGGAGATAAAGGAGTGAATGGCAGAGTGATGTTCTACTACTGGGTCTGAAATGCTTCATAATTCAGCAGTCCATTCTGAAAAATAAGAGAAGAAAACAACAAATCAGCACAGATAACAACACTCAAATGTTCTAAAACATTAAATCAACAACAAAGCATTTCATGCCGCAGAGCCATTCATAAACACATGTAGAGTGGGAAGCATGAACACTTGGCAACCATACTGGAATAACGTAATTATTACTTTTATCAGGAGTCCAAAGAAAAGAGCCAGTGAGCTATATAGTTGGTAGGTTGATAGTTTCATAAGATACTAGCTTGCAAATGCACCAATCAGGAAAGCAATATTCTGCTTTAGCTAGCATATTTATTTGTAACTTTAATTTTCCTTCCTATCAAACATGTAATACCACTCCTGTATCTAAATCACACTGCGTTTATTGCCTTACTCTTGGCCTTCCAAAAAAACTTTCCTAAAACCAGAAATGGGCAAGGTCCATAAAAACATCACTGAACATAATGGCCATCTGGCTCACATTAATCAAAGAGAGCACCTACATCACATTTCTTGCTCAGCAGCTTTACAGTGAGGTGAGCAGAAGCTTCTGCCACCTCCTCCTCCTCCATCAAAGAAGAGAAAGACAAAAGGAGAAAAAGAACAGGCTCACTCACATTCTCATCAGTTACTGACACAATACTGAAGGCCAACAATTGCACCATTTGGGCCTTCTGTTTTGTTACAAAATCAGATCTCAAAATCATGGCTGGGGAGTGCAAAACACATGATATGGGCAAAGTATCGAAATTTGGGGGGTTTTTGGTTTTTGTTTTTTTGTGATACTGGGGATCAAACCCAGAGTTCTGTGCATGCTAGGCAAGTGTTCTACCGATAAGCTAAGCCCCAAGTCCTCAAAACTGTCTTAAACAAATTATATAAGCTATCTAGTTAACCTACAAATGCTAGAAATCATACCCATGCATTTCTTACTTTAATTTCTTCTCTCCTAAAACCATTACTCAGTCCTTTTCATTCTAAACTAGTAAGACTCATATGTTAGGCAAATACTCTACCACTGAGTTACATCTACAGCCCCTACATGCTTCCTAAAGGTAATTATACAATAAAAGCTCAACTAAAGTAGGTCATTAATTCATACACACAAAACTCATAGAATAAAAGACTGGAAACTTCAGACATCAAGCAGAAAGGATTCTTATTTTCTTTCTCCTTTCTCTCTAAAAAAAAAAAGTAATAGTTCACTTTTACACTTACTTTTACTAAACTGCTTTTGGGGGTACCTTTTCCAAGCTTTTGCATATTTTCTCCATTTCTACTGTCAAAGGTCTTCAGGGAACAGGTATTAATCACAAGGTTCCAAATTTAAAAGGTGTAAGACTTTAAGACCTTCCTCTCACTCCTTTTCCCATTTCCTTCCCTAAAAACAGATAATGTCACTAGTCCCCTACATAGCCTTTAGAAATATTATTTAGCTACCCAAGCAAATAAGCACTCTAACATGTTCTCTCCTCTCTGTATGCCCAAGATGTTGTCTAAGCATTTACAATTAAATCATAAAAACAGAAATCAGCAACAGGCAAAAGTTCATATAGAAACAATTTTATAAAAAATTCTCTCCATTTGAAAATGCAGAAAACTTGGGTGTGGCGGCATCCCCCTGCAATCCCTGCTTTACTGCAGAATCTCACTCCAGCCTCCCTGGCTCCTTCCCTATCGCTTTTCATTTTCTTTAGTGGCTTCCACACCCAGGTAGATGATATCACCCCTCCTTTCTGCCTCCTCAGACCTTTAACCTTTACCCTTACAGTCATCTGCACTCAACTTCAGCAAGCTCTCCTCTACTGGCTGGCTGGTTTCCAGTCACCTGTAAATGTCCTCTAAATCACCCGTCTTCTAAACGCCCTCTCTTTAGCTCATGCCTTTCAACAATGACACTATTAACAATGAAGCTTCTGTAGTCAGCTGTCATACCAGCAACTCCGCTGGTGCACACCTTAACCTTTCGGCCTGCTTTCCCCAATGCTCTATAACTGGGAGCTACACTTGTGGGGATACCCAGGGACAGCCTTACTGGCAAAACCAAGGTTTCTCTGCTTCTAAGTAACTCTACCTCTCAGCAGCATTCCAAAGTTGATGACCCCTTCTTTCTTGTAAAATTTCCCACTTCTGGGAAAACACATCATGCCCTCCTGCCACTTCTCTAGCTGCACCTACTCAAATATCTTTAACCATCTCTAACCACTCACAAGAAATTCTGCTTAAACACTACTCAGTAATACTAAACACTGGAAACTACTCTCTAAAAGCCTGGAAATTACCAGTCAGGCATGGAACAGGAAGACTGGATAGACACAGGGCCCAACAGCCAATTTCTAGCACCAAAAGTAACAGCACTTTGGCCTTCGGGAATTCTGTATAAGTCATCTGTAAACTGGAGAATCGGGACATAGTTGGGCATCATACAATTATTTACCCCGGGAAGAGAATTAAAACCCAGGGATACAGCACTTGGGAGGCAGAGGCAAGAGGACAGTTGAGAGTGCCAGGCCAGCCTGCGCTATACAGTAAGCTCATGGCCAGCCTGAACTGCATAGTGAGACCCTGTCTCAAAAAGACACACACACACGCAAAAACCTAGGGATAGAAAAAATAACTTCTAATGTTCTACTGCCAATTGGGGTGACTACAGGTGAAAATAGTATACTGTACATTCTTTTTTTTTTTTTAGTGTTTTTTTTTGTTTGTTTGTTTGTTTTTCTCCGGTACCGGGAACTGAACTCACAACCTTGCGCTTGCCAGGCAGGTGCTTTGCTGCTGAGCTAAATCCCCAGCCCCTATACTGTACATTCTAAGAAAATGTTTTCACCTCCCAAAAAAGAGAAATGTTTGAGTTAGATTTATTTACCTTGACTTGAACATCACTTAGTGTATACATGTATCATAACACACAGTACTCTATAAAGACAGATCATTTTCATGTATCAATAAAAATAATATCTTTAAAAGGTGGAATTACTCAAATGAAAACCATATTTTGCAGTAGATGAAAAAACTCGAAGTTAAACAAACTCTCAATCACGCACTCCAATGTGTGATTGGAGTGCAATCACAGTGCAATCGTGACAAAATACACTATAAATGTTTATAAATGAATAAAAAGTTCAGGTTCACTATATTACATTTAAAAAGGTCACATAAATGAGAAAATCATTAATGTTGATTATTCTCTGGCCAAAATTATACATTTCTTAATCTTTGTACTTTTCTATATAGATTCTAAAATTTGTCTATAATGAATACATGCTACTTTTATAATTACAAATTAAACATTCAAAATCAGACATTACTACTTCACAATGTATGAAAATGTGCCTTTCAGTATTTTAGAATGGAATGTATACCTATTATTAAAGTGTAAATCAAGAAGAAAGCCTTCAATTCCTAAGAAAATAGGGCAAGTGGATTAGTGGATCATTCAGCTAAAAGAAGTGGAAAAAGAAAAAGGGAAAATATACACAGGTGTCAGATAAGATATCCAAAATGGTTAGTATTCGCCTTAGCTAATATCTTAATGAGATTTTTAAGTTCTTTCAGATATTTTAAATATTTACTCCCATTAGTGCATTGTAAAAGTAGAAGATAATTTTAATTTTATTTTGTCTTCTCTTGGGGTTGGTTTATATAAGAACTGCCTTTACCTTTTCCCTACTGCTCACAACCCCTCAGAGATGGAATAAGACAGATGTGCACTGAGAACTGTGGAAGCCCCATGATGGGGACATGAGGTTTCTACTATTCTCTTTGCTATGTATGTGTTTGAAATCACCCATAACTTAAAATATTTTTATAACTTACTCTTAAAAAAAGCTTATGCGGAAAAAATATGTGAGAAAATTATTGTTATAAAAATATAACTTAAACTGGAAGAGATAGTGCACACTTATCATCCTAGCTACTCAGGAGGTTGAGGCAACAGGGTTATAACAAGTTCAAAGCCAGCGTGGGCAGCTTATAGAGATTTCGTGTCAAAATAAAATAAAAAATAAATAAATCTGAAGGGTCAGGAATGTAACTCAATTGTAAATGCCTGGGTTCAATTCCCAGTAGCACCCAAAAAGGGGAGAGAGCTTAAAAAAAAATTTTAACTAAACAAAATGGAATGTAAAATTGTATAAGATACAGACACACAGTATTTAAAACTTTTTTTTAAAGCTTATGTGAGCCTAGTGTAGTGGCACACATCTGTAATCCCAGCAAAACTATTCCTTCTCCACTGAACTGTCTTTGCACCCTGATGAAAAATCAATTGACCATAAATGTCAGCATTTATTTCTGGACTCTCATTCTATCCATTCATCTGCATGTCTATCTTTGTAAAAGTATCTGATTGTTTCAATTACTGTAGCTTTGTAGAAAGCTATGACAGTCTTCCAACTTTGTTCTTTCTCAAGACTGTTCTGGCTATTCAGGGTCCCTTACATTTCCATAGAAATTTTAAGATCAGTTTCAATTTCTGCAGAGGAGTAGCTGGGATTTGAATAGAGATTATGCTGAATCTGTAGACTAACATGACGAGTACTACCATCATGACATCAAGTTTACCAATTCATGATGACTTATTTAGATCTTTAATTTTTTTCAATGATGTTTCATAATTTAGAGTATGTTTCACCCTTTACCTTTACTAATACATTTTTAAATTCTTTTTATGCACTATGAATTGTTTTCTTAGTTTCATTTTCAGACTACTCACTGGAAGTATAAAGGAATACCACTGATCTTTATATATTGCTCTTGCTGAACTCATAATTTATGAGTTCTAATAGTTTTGTTGGTTTTGTTTTTTTTGTCGTTGCTGTTTTTTGTTTTCTTGAGACAGGGTCTCACTATGTAGTTCAGGCTGGCCTTTAAATCACTATGTATTCAGGCTGGTCTTGAACTTGGGGCAGTCCTCCTACCTCAGTCTCCCAAGTGCTGGGATTACAGGCCTGGGCCAGCACATCCAGCTTGTTCTACTAGTTTTCTAACAGATTCCCTAGGATAGTCTACATATAAT